AAAATTTGACAGTTAGACAGTTATTTCTTTTTCTTGAGGATGTCTTCTAAAAACAATTTATAAATGTGTGTGAGTGAATGTAAGGGTGAATATGTCTGTGGAGAGGGGAAAAAGAAGTGGGGGGTCTTTTGGGAGGGAGGGGAGGGGGGATTCCTCATGCTTTTAATGCTGACAGTGATTCGATCAGAGACCAAAAGTGAGACACACCAAGATATTAAGGAGCATGAGAATATTTCAAAATAATAGGTCAAACAATGCATAAAGGAAATCACATAATATCTATCTCAGTGAGCTTAATCGTTTTGAGTGAAAATCAAATTCAAAATGTCTAGGACACATACAATATTCATAATTCAAAGAAACATAGGGCAGGCATGTGCCTCCTACTGTTGTAGAGAAAACAATTGAAAAACGGTCTAGATTCTCACCTGGGTCGTTGGCGATGGGAATGTTGTTGCTGATGTAGGCAGCCGTCAATGCCTCTAAGTAGTCATGCTGCTGACCAGACAGAGAGAAAGAGAAAGAGAGGATTTTTAGTTTTAGTAAGTATTTTACGGCAAACGCAACACAGTAAGGTCATATAAGTGCCGAAGATTAGAGGTGTTACAAGAGAGTAACAAACATAAAAAAGAAGGAGGGGAAATAAATATAATAGATGTTTGATAGGAAAGAAGAAGCAAACCACACCAGAGCACCTGGCAACCACCCACGACTATATCTCTGATTCAGAACATATCAAGGAAGTCAAGATCTGAAGCAAGAGAAGCAGAGCTTGACTAATCTACTTCCTCTACGTCTACCACCCATGCACACTTCCTGTATCATGCTTGTTTTTAGTTTTAGTAGAGGTTTTACGGCGTTTGCAACTGCATAATATAAGGTTATATGAGCGCCAGAAGATTAGAGCTGTTACAAGAGAGTAACAAACATAAAAAAGAAGAAGGGGAGCTAAGGACGATAGATGTTTGATAGGTAAGAAGTAGCAAACCACACCAGAGCACCCGGCAACCACCCACATCCTGCTTGTTTATCTGTTAGTTTGTTTGTTTGAGTAAAGAAAAGCACATCAACGTGATAATGGTCGTAATTTAGTGCTCGAAGAAAGCAAGACAGATAGACAGAAACAACAGAGGGAAAGTAAAGAAGCAGGACCTACAAGTGGCGCCCTCCAACCACCTGCTGTTTTAGTCACCCTTAAGTCACAATCAGAATACTGAGCACATATTATTATCTAGCTTAACATTATTATAGTTTATATCACTGTTCATATATATTATTCATGTGAATGTGAGCCCGTTTGTGAGTGCAAGCATACTATTGTATAATTATGGTTATGTGCACACGCGGATGTGTGTGAAAGAGAAGATGTGTGAGGGAAGAGAGTGTGTGTATATGAGTGTGCACAAGTGTGTGCGTATGCCTGTGTGTGCAAATTTGTGAGTGTGTGTGTGAGTGTATGTTTGAGCGTATGCATGTGTGTGCATGTTTGTGTGTGTGTGTGTGTGTGTGTAGATGTGCATGTGTGTGTGTGTGTGTGTGTGTGCGCGTGTGTGTGTGTGTATGTAATATGTATGTATGTGCGTGGTGAAACACCAAACCTAATGTGCAAGGATCTGGACAATAAAGATGTATCTTATCTTATCTTACTGATATCAAACAGACTGCTGATGAAAAAACCCAAAAAAAACAACGAGACAACTCACTCGCTTCTGCTGCTTCTCCTCAAAGCGTTCCTGCACAAAGACTGGTATGCCAGAGTTGGTCCTCTCGTCAATGGACCTCGGTCGCTTCGGACTTGTGGACGTGTAGCGCATTGTTTGGGACTGTGAAAGAAGCAAAAGATAAAATTTATTCTATAATGATACCAATAAATTTTATTTACTTTTCTACTATTTACTTATTTACTATTTACTTATTTATTATTTATTTATCTATTAATTTATTTATCTATTTATTTAATTAATTTCTTTTCTTTTTATTTGTTTATTCTTTTTTCTTGTTTATTTTGAGTTAAATCTTATTCCTTTCAACACAGTCATCACAGGTAACTTGGTGAGTCAAGAGACAATACTTATATATAAGACCAAGCGGTTTCACCTCATGAGACTATAGCACCTTGAGCAATATGGTGCTGCTCATTCATTGGGACTTATGTTTCCACTTTGTATTATGTGCTCTATTTCTCAGGTGCTTCTATTAGCCTTTTCTCATCAGATGTAATAAGTTGTATTTGTTTTTAGATACTTTTAAGTTTTTCAGATTTCATTCCTTGATTTCCTTTTTTCCTTTCCTATTTGGACTGTAATAACTGTTCTCAAAATATCTAAATTTGTTCAGCTGTACATACAGATCAAGAAGGGTAATAGCAGTTTTCTCACACCAATTTAAGAAAGGAAAGGAATTGAAAGAAAACAGAGGAGAGAGAATCTTTGCAGTATCCGGGGAGGTTTGATGACTCTAACAGCAGACAGAACAATGATCCCCCCCCCCCCCACTCCCAAGAAGGAAGAAAAAAAACTAAACAAGGAAAGAGATTGAAGAACAGACAAAAAGAAACATCCAGAGACCCTGTTAATAAAGCCAGCCACTTGAACATACATACACACATGTTTAGTTTCTATGATACCGAAAACTATAAATCACACTTATATTGATTGACCAAATTCTTTCGTATAATGGACCCAAAAACCCACAACATTAGTGAAAAGCACACAAACAGAATTAGATACTATTGAATTGTTGCTGTCATCCATCAATGTTGTGAAAAAAATATAACAACATTTTCAGGAGGACAGAAAAGTGTTTTATTTTGGGCAGGACATTATATCGTAAAACAGAATGCTTCATTCATAGAAATGCAATTTTCACCAAATATTTAACCCGCCCCCCACAAAAAAAAAATGGGGCTCAGTCGCCACAAATACTTCAGCCAAAAAGTCTCTCTTGTTTACTATGAATACTCTATTGTTCCATAGACAATGCAACATGGTCATGAAAATGAAACCAAAGATTCTCTACTACCCACCCGTATACACAATCTCTGAGGAAACCAAAGTAACTAAATATGGAATAAAACAAGGGCAGGTTACCTTTCCCAGATCACCTCTGAGAGGCTTCACCTGGTTGTGTCTCATTCTCTTGTCCTCCTGCTCGGAAAAATGAAACAAAAATGAAAATTCAGCAAAACTATACAACGCAAACACTAAATAATGTGTGCCCAACATTAAAAGAAAGGTGATATTTTCAAATTGTAAAATGACAGAATCATATCTTGCCACTCAAGTACTCTATTCTAATTTCTGAAGTATCCTCTTCAACACTAGAGAGTATGCTAAAATGGTGAAAGGTGGAACTTTTTCTTTAACCATTCACTCTTAACATCAAGTGCCAAATCTGCGGCAGATATCTGCGATTATGGTTCTCCATTCATCACTTTTCTCAGACGCTGTCATAACCAGATAAAACTTAAGCATTTAAACTAAGGTTAAGAAGCAAACAATAGTTATGGATATCACATCAATTATGAAAGAAAGTAATGACAGTTAGGTAAATAAAACTAACCACAATAATGTTAAAAAGAAAAAATTAATTAATTCCAAAAAAAACCAAAACAAATAACTCCCCCCCCCCCCCACCCACCCCCCAAAAAGCATAAATAAAACAAACCCACAACCAAAATCAAATAATATCAACTCAAGAGATAAATAAGGAAAAAAAAGTCACCTGAGAGGCTAGTGTTTTCTTCAAGTCCTCTTTGGCTGGGGGTCGAACCTTGTCCCTGTCCTTTTTACTCTTCAGTCTTTTCTTCTTAGGCTGTCAGAACAAAACGGGCAAGTTAGGAGAGAAGGGAAACACAGAGACAAATTAATTGAAATATTTTAATGTTTCAAACTGTACTTTTAACGCACTTTTTCAGTCCCCATTCACATAAATTACATTATTTAGTCGCTTTTAAGGACAAGTAAGGCGGGCTAATCCAGATTACGGGGGTTTCCAGAAATCTTGACCAGCACCAAAAGTGGGCATTGCGCTACCTATAGGAGAAGTTTGGTTTATTTAGTGTGTATATTTATTGTTTGGTTATAGAGAAAACTCTCCTTGTCATTTAAAGAAAGTGAACAAACGGCAAAAAGTTTACCTTCGATTTTCTCAAAATAGCATTTTTTAAGATAGCCCCATTGTGCTTAAAAGCGACCATTTAACGGGTGTTCCATTTCGACCCAGCCTGCCAGGGCACACCTGGGCTGAGTGGGATAGTACATCTCAGCAGACAGACGGAGATACAAAGTACTCACTAAAAACGCCAGCATTCAGTAACTGAACCCATGTATTCTGCCTTTAGTTTTAGTAGAGGTTTTACGGCGCTCGCAACTGAATGTGGTCAAATGAGCCCCAGAAGATTAGAGGTGTTACAAGAGAGTAACAAACATAAAAAAGAACAAGGGGAAATAAGGACGATAGATGTTTGATAGGAAAGAAGAAGCAAACCACACCAGAGCACTACATCTAAGAAGACAGACAGAGATACAAAGTACTCACTAAAAGCGCCTGCATTCAGTAACTGAACCCATGTATTCTGCTTGCAACAGCAGAGAGCCTAACCACTACACCAATACCATTCATCACAAACAACGTTCTCAGCGCCATCATTTTGGTTAATTTTATTAATTCATATCAACGACCCAAAGGGAAAAAACCCCCAACTGATTCAGTTTTTTTCTTATTCCTTTTGAATAAACATAATCATCAAAATACACATGCTATAAGTTTGCTTAGCTGGCAACAGATTAAAAGCATTCAAAGCAATAAAAAATGGGGAGAAAATTGCGAGTTCTGAATACAAACTAATGATAATGAAAGAAAACAGTGTCAAGAGAAGCAATTTTCTTTTATTGCAAAATAAAGGACAGAAACGTTTACAGATAAACTGTGTCTTATAAGACGTACTTTTGAAGTAAGTTATCTTGGTATGCTTTGACAATGTAATCATCAGGTATTTTTTCAATAAGCTGGGCGTAAATGTACCTGTGTGTGCGTGTTTGTTCATGAGTGTGTGTGTGTGT